TGCTAGATGGTGTGGATAATTCTGAATGGCTAGATTTGGTCTCAGATGATGATGGTGGTGGTGGCAATGACAGCAATGGCGATGGCGGCGATGGCAGCGATGGAAATGATGGTGATGGCACCCATAGATATCAAGCTCGACGCACTTCTCAAAGCTCAACTCCTACTCCAACTCAAAGTGATAATAGTGGTGGTTTAACACCATCTGATGGAGGAGGTGATGATGGTGATGATGAAGGCACTTCTCACGATGACGGTGGTGGTGGTAGCGGTGACAATGGCGGTGATGGCGGTGATGGTACTAGTTTTGGTGCAGGAAGTGAAGATTTTATTGGAGGATTTGGATTATGTGATGTTGGGGAACATTATGATATTGGAGAACCTGTTGCACCTTTACCCCAACTACCTAGGAGGTTTTGTGGTAATGATACATGTAGGAACGAAAGAAGAATAAGAAATAGAGAACAACAGCTTGATTCATCTGATAATAGCCATAGTTATCCATATCACCCTTACCCATCCTATAGCAGTGATAACCAGAGCTATCCTTATCCACCTCAATAAAATCATCATTGGCCCCCTCAACAACATGGTCTTGTAGGATACGGTTTGCCAAATTATTAACAAGCCCAACAAGAGTATGTTGATCCTTTTCTGGGAAGGTATCCATTTTCTCTCCCAATGCACGAAACAGAAAGGGATGATATGATGAGCACATTTACTTATATATTTCCTACCGAATGGGGTGAAGGTAGTAGTAATCAAGCTCAACACTCTGATTCCCAAGATGCACCACGTCACTCATTTTGGTGGGGTGAAGGTAGCAGCAACAATCAAGCTGAACAATCTGAATCTCAAGATGCACCATGTCACTCATTTTGGTAGTGACATTATGTAATTTTAGTAGTAACATTATGTAAAATGTACTCTCTATTATTTATGATTTATGCTATGATGTTATGTACTTTGTCAAGTTTTTCCAGTAAGGATGTATACTTTTTTAAAACTATTTGAGTTAAAATGTACATATGCCTCCACAAGTATAATAATTAAAAATAATTTTATACATCTAAGTCCAATAAAAGAAAATTTTGCCACAAGTGTAATATGAATTTATGACATATAAAGTCATTAATTATTGAAATAAAATGTAAAAAAAAAAAACATTTTCTAGTGATTTAAAAATATGAAATATATTGGATCATACTTAAAAATTATGAAAAATTTATTTTAAAACCCAATAAATATGATTCTAAAAAAAAAATATGCGTATCGGTAAGTTTTTTACAAATTGTGCGAAAAATAAAAAAATTCACAATTCCGGTAACCGCAACCGTTACGCTATGGCCTTTACACCCCGCAATCGCAACTGCGTCACCGCTACCGTTACGGCGACCGCAACCGCTTTTCAGAACCTTGCCCTCAGTGTAAGACCTCAATGATCTCGTTTTCTCAGACCTGGAGTAACGAGTTCTGGAAGTCCTTGATTGAGTGTCGCCTGTCCTGAGGCTTCTACTCTCTATTTGCGATGGCGTGGTATGCCTACCACGATCTTCTGAGTGGCGAGGAGGCGTATTGCTCTTGCGCCCCACTCCTGTCGCCACCCCCTTCCCTTTTATCTGGCACTTCATCAATTCTATGTCCGCCGCCAACTTATTGATTAACTCGTCCTGCTCCTTTACCTGATCCTCCAAAACTTGAGGGTCGATCATCCGCCTCTGCCTATCGGGACTTGATGAGCGACAGGGGCTGTTACCCCGCCTTCCCCTTGTATCCCTCCGGGGATTCTGTCACTGGGGCTCCAGATCTGCCATGAGAGAGATGGATGACAAACCTTTGCGTCTCCTATCTCCCTCTGGGGTTTGCTTGTCAATGGTGGACTGTGGCAAATCTTCATTGTATGCCATTACGTCTAATCTAACGAGAAATACTTTGATCAAGAGGTTTTGTTCTTTCTGTGATTCCCACAGACGGCACCAATTGTACGAGCAAGAAATAATTTTCTCGTATAATCCTGTTGATCAAGCCCGCGTTCCTCCAAACGTTGTCGCTTTACTCCCTGAAAACACAAATCGGATACCTCTCCGATGCCTAAGTCAGCAAAATAGACAAATAGACAAAAGCTCTGTGTATTCGAGAATCAAAGTTATGTTACCTCTCCATAGGTGATGTTATGAGCTTTTATAGGTTCCGTATGGCACAATCCTAATAGGACTCTTACTCCTCTATGTAGAGTCCTCCTAGAAATCACATTCCTGAAAGATAATGCTTATCCTTCAACACCCCCCTCACTGCTTAAACCAAGTGAGATGGTTTTACCATGGTTGGATGTCAATACGACCGAGATAACATGGCCACACTAAAGCCGCAGACTAGACCGAGCTCCAACTAGCTCGGTTCTTCCTTTCACTGTGCGTACCTCGATTGACATATTCCAACTGGGTCGTCTGAAACCGTGCTATTCACAATGAGCTTGGACCGAGCTATCTAACAGCAAGGTCCTAAGCAGAAGCCAACATACTTCGGCCCAATACAGTATGACTGGGCTAACTGTCACCGTGCCGACCGTGGTGACCGAGCTAACCACCAAGCTTCTTCGGACCGGACTATCTGCAAGGCTCTTTTGTACCGGACTAATTACAAGCCCCTTTTACTCAGCCCTTCTTACCGTGACTCAAAGAATGGCCCTTTACCCAGCTCGGCCCAATTTATATATAAATTATTCTCTCAAAAATATAAAATTTATTTTCAAATTACAAATTATTGTAATTCTTTTACAAAAATTAAGTTATATTTCCCACAAAAATACATAATATACCCCATATATGTAACATATCCCATAAAAATACTTAACAAATTCGATTATGGTTGTAGAGTGCCGGTCTTCAAGCCTGATAATATCTGGACTGCTGTGTGAGTTCCATTGATCTTCCAAAGTTTTCTTGTAAAGCCTATTACTTATTTCCCCTAACAATAAGACCCAAAAAAAACAAAAAAACAAAAAAACAAAAAACAAAAACAAAAATTATGGGTTTAATAATTAATGATTAGAGATAGTAAGATCCAAAATTACTGCCATTTAACAATTTTTTTTTGTTAATTTCAATACTCAACCCCCACAACCCATTGACGTCCATTTACACAAGTGCACAAATAATAACACCAAAGCCCCTGACTTGAATATGATGGATAAGGGAATCCCATACTTCCCTTTCCCAAACAGCCCTTTCAAATATGCCCAGAATCATAACACCACACACACCACGAATGACCTCCCCTACCCCTGACCCAACTCCACCACTCGCCACTGGTCGGAACCCTAACAATCCAACAGCCAATGCTGTCAAATTCACCAACAAAATAGTGGTGTGGTACCGTACATGAAAATTGCAGACTCTTTGAATATGAACCGTCCGGCATTAACGTTAGCGTCCGCGTCAATGCGTCATCACCAATGGACTGGCCCTTTTGTGTTACTTCATGTTTGAACAATCTTCTGTGTAAATAAAATAAACTGAAATTAATTCAAACAAAATAAAATAAAACTTACAGAATTTATTTTGTCGAACCAAACGAAAAAATCAAAAGACCAACTCAAGTGTGTAACATTCTGTCCTTAAGACAGATTCGCCCCGCTACGGTGCTTACGGTTGAGTGACGTCTATCTCCCAGGATACAATGATCTTAACCAATTTGTAGCAGCACTCCAAAACAAATTGTTCGACGAACCAAACCTATGTTCTAACTCTCTGAATATTTATTCCTAAAATTATACATGAAAAATAATGCACTAAAAGAAATTTGGACAGCAAAAAGACAAAGATTTCAGACTGAATTTTCGGATGGAAAATTTCATCCCTTTGACTGCTGGAATAGATGGGTATAAATAGGTAAAATTACACAGCCCGAACAGGTTCCAAAATAGAATGAAAAGGTGCACAAAAAATTGAACAGGTGCACAACTATTCAAACATTGATTTGACCGTTGCAAATTTCAAACAATTTGAATAAAGTTCCGTTGGAGGAATAGTCAAAGCAACTTTGGAACATATTATTTAAACTATTTGGAATACAAATATATATTAAACTATAAAAAAAAACAAAAAAAAAAAACAAAAAAAACAAAAAAACAAAAAACAAAAACAAAAATTGAGGGTTTAATAATTAATGATTAGAGATAGTAAGATCCAAAATTACTGCCATTTAACAAATTTTTTTGTTAATTTCAATACTCAACCCCCACAACCCATTGACGTCCATTTACACAAGTGCACAAATAATAACACCTTTTTTGTTAATTTCAATACTCAACCCCCACAACCCATTGACGTCCATTTACACAAGTGCACAAATAATAACACCAAAGCCCCTGACTTGAATATGATGGATAAGGGAATCCCATACTTCCCTTTCCCAAACAGCCCTTTCAAATATGCCCAGAATCATAACACCACACACACCACGAATGACCTCCCCTACCCCTGACCCAGCTCCACCACTCGCCACTGGTCGGAACCCTAACAATCCAACAGCCAATGCTGTCAAATTCACCAACAAAATAGTGGTGTGGTACCGGACATGAAAATTGCAGACTCTTTGAATATGAACCGTCCGGCATTAACGTTAGCGTCCGCGTTAATGCGTCATCACCAATGGACTGGCCCTTTTGTGTTACTTTATGTTTGAATAATCTTCTGTGTAAATAAAATAAACTGAAATTAATTCAAACAAAATAAAATAAAACTTACAGAATTTATTTTGTCGAACCAAACGAAAAAATCAAAAGACCAAGTCGAGTGTGTAACATTCTGTCCTTAAGACAGATTCGCCCCGCTACGGTGCTTACGGTTGAGTGACGTCTATCTCCTAGGATACAATGATCTTAACCAATTTGTAGTAGCACTCCAAAACAAATTGTTCGGCGAACCAAACCTGTGTTCTAACTCTCTGAATATTTATTCCTAAAATTATACATGAAGAATAATACACTAAAAGAAATTTGGACAGCAAAAAGACAAAGATTTCAGACTGAATTTTCGGATGGAAAATTTCATCCCTTTGACTGCTGGAATAGATGGGTATAAATAGGCAAAATTACACAGCTCGAACAAGTTCCAAAATAGAATGAAAAGGTGCACAAAAAATTGAACAGGTGCACCACTATTCAAACATTGATTTGACCGTTGAAAATTTCAAACAATTTGAATAAAGTTCCGTTGGAGGAATAGTCAAAGCAACTTTGGAACATATTATTTAAACTATTTGGAATACAAATATATATTAAACTATTTGAATAGTTTAATAAATAAACAAAGAGGTATAAACTTTAGAAAACCACTTAGGGACCTAAAATTTAAATTAAATTCCCACAATTACAAACTTTAAGAAACCACTTAGGAACCCACTTAGGAATCGAAAATTTGAATTTAGAATTAAATTAAATTCCCACAATAATTTTTATTAAAAAAACTTCAAATGAATTTTATCTAAATAAAAATTAATGTTAGACCCGAAAATGACGTCAACTTCCCATTCACTCATAAATGGTTTTTGACGTTCCGTTTTCACCGTGTGACTTGTCACATGGCAAGGAACACGTCACCTCTTCAAACCCACCCCAAAAGACGTTTGGGACCCACTCAAATTGGGCTAAAAAATATGCCTATATTAAAGCCTCGTTTGGGAACAGGCTAATTTAGTAACTTTTTGGCTATTTGGCTAAAAAGGTAGGTAAAAAAAACTTGTATGTTTAGGATGACTTTTTGGCTAATTACGAAAAGATGTGTAAAAAATAGAGAGAAAAGAGAATCTTTGACTTTTTGGTATGGGTTGTTAGCTTTTTGGCTAATTTAGTAATTTTTTGGCTAATTAGCTAAAATAGCCCCTTGCCAAACGAGGCCTAAATCATTTTTTTCCCAACACTTCAAACACTCTGTCTGATAGTCCTAAGAGCTTCAGTTTAGCACTGAAAGTTCCAAGCAACCATGAAGTCATGGCGGTTACCCACCACATTCTTTGATTGTTCCACCATGCTCGGGTTAAGAGGCCGGTTTGAAGGTACTTTGATAAGGTGTAGAGATTGTATGTGATGAAAAGGGCAATAGGTATCGGTAAGGCTGCTTCTCCAACCTGCATGGACTGTTACAACAATAAAATAAAATATTGAGAAATAACAAATCAATGTTACTTTTGAAAAATTATTACAAATTCATGGTAAATTTTATATACTTTAATGATTAAATTGAAAAATTATTACAAATTCATGGTAAATTTTATATACTTTAATGATTAAATTCATAAATTTTTTCATGAATTTGTAATTATTTTAGAATAGTATTACTGATTTATAAATTTTGCAATTTTTTTTTGGAAAATGGGGTTGGCTCATCTAGCATTGATCAAGTGATGAATGAAATTTAGGTCAGTTGAGGTTCAATAGGTGTTAGGAATGGCAACGGGGCGGGACGGGGCGGGGCCGGGGATCCCACTCCCCGTCCCCGATCCCCGATGGCCAAAACTTCCCCGTCCCCGGCCCCGATCCCCGACGGGGAACCTATCACGGTCCCCGTCCCCACCCCCCAACGGGGATCGGGCTTCCCCGACCCCGAAAGTTCCCCGATCCAAATCCGTTTCAACATTCAACACAGAGATATACTCACATGTATACATTCAACACAGAGACATTCAACAAATACATACATACATACTCACATGTATACATTCACAAGGACACACATACATTATACCTACACACAGAGACATACACATACATGTACACACAGAGAGAGAGGACGACGGTGGAGATTGGCGTAAATCGGCAGATCGGCGGCGACGAACAGTTGATCGGCGTAGATCGGACGAGATCAACACAGATCTGAGAGAGGGCAGCGATGGAGGTGGAGCGAACGGAAGAGTTGACGGAGGTGAAGGCTGCGCTGAGGAGGAGACGAATGGCGCAGACGACGGCAAGGTGGACAGCGACTCCGGCGTCGCGGACAGTGACGGCTGCGTTGAGGAGGCGGAGATGGGAGGTGTGATGCGAGAGTGAGAGAGAGGATGCAAGAGTGAGAGAGAGGAGAGGTGCAAGTCTGAGAGAGTGTAGAGGGAAGAGAGAGAGTGAGAGAGAGAGGGACAGAACAGAGGGTTATATTATATATTAAACTATTAAGGGGCATATATATTAAGTTTGATTCGGGGGCTAACGGGGACGGGGTCGGGGGTGAAAAATATATCACCGTCCCCGGCCCGAAAATCATCGGGGATTTATTTTTGAGTACCATCCCCGGTCCGTAGAGGATATTTTTCGGGAAAAAACCGCTTTAATCAGGGTCGGGGGGTCGGGTCCCCGTCGGACCGGTTTCAAATTGCCATCCCTAATAGGTGTAGAACTAACTCGCGGCTGCCGCAACTATTCTTTTAAGTTACCCCCCCAAAAAAAAAAAAAATGAAGTTATTACTCTATAATCATAATCTCAAACACCACCCTAATATATATAAAATAAAATAAAAAAGAGAGGGCAAATTACACTTATACCCCTTTGGTTTTAATATATGTCACTCCCCGACGTTTGAAAAATTACACTAACTCTCTGTCATTGTAATTATTTAGACGAAATGAAGATATTGAACTCATACACTTTTTTTTCTTGTTTTGTTTTACTTTTTTTTTTCCTCCTTTGCTTTGTTTTACTTTACTTTACTTTACTTTTTTTTTTCAATGTAATTTTTTTTGTTTTTCTATTAAGAGTTGTTGTCTTTTATATAATCTGGGAGTTTGTGAAATGAGATTATTAACCATAAGGGTAAAAATGTACTTTCAAAAGCATCAAAAAGTGAGATGTAATTAGACCAAATCTCAGGAAGTGTCAATGTAATTTATCCTAAAAAAAAACATATTTATTATTTTTTGTTACCCAACATATTTGAGATATTTTTACTACATTAAATGTAAACAGAGTTGCAAGAAACAATCTAGCATCCAAAAAAACAAAACAAAAAACCCATAAGTATTATTTGAAAATTAAATCATTTATTTGTTGGACCACAAATGCAATAAATTAATCTATATATTATATTCTAAAAAATAAATAATTCGAATTATTGAGATGAGACCTACAATAAGCCTCACAAGCCCAAACAATGTAATACAGTTTCCAAAAAACAACTCCTATGTCTATATAACAAGGACCCGACTCCTCTTTAGGAGCTATTCAGCACTAGTGAGCCTTGATCTGGGCCCATGTCAATGATTTAAATCATTAATGTTTAGAATCCATCGAGTACATTATCTTTGTAAAAAATCATATTGATGATAATCACTTGATTAGATTACATTTCTATCACAATTTATTTTGAATTTTTTTTTCAAAATGTAATCTACTTAAGTGGTTATTAATATCCGATCAATGTGATTTTTTATAAGAATAATATACTCGACTGGTTCTAAATATTGAATGATTTGGATCATTGGTATAGATCCGGATTAGAACTCACCAATGCTGAACGGCTCCCTCCGGGTCCATATAACAAAGTGGATTGATGTGATGAAATTTCGAACAGTCAGAGTTGTTTTCCTAGTGCAATTCATTACCATTGGACCCTTAAATTGAGATGGAAAACTCTCGAAACAAGAAGTTAAATTTATGTAATATGAAATTTATATATAAGATAAAACTAAACCATAAAATAAAAATTTTGGATAATTTATGAGTTGATAACGGTAAATTTATAATATTATTCAATTGAAATCATTCAAAGCAAAAATGCTTGGGACCCCCGAAATTGGGACTCTCATGACTCCTAAATGATGTGAACTAATCATGTACTTTTACTTTTTTATTTTTTATTTTTCTTTCTTTTCTGGACCAATCATGGATGAGTGAGGTGGTGGGGTTGTGTTTTTTTTTGAGGTATGTAGCATTTTTGAAATGGGTTTCACCTCTCTACCCCATTGGGTACCATACTCATAGCTGCAACCAGGGACTTGGTAGGCTGCATTGATAGAACTCGACAGATCATGTGGTTGTGGAGTGCCAGTCTTCAAGCCTGATAATATCTGAGCCGCTGATTTTGTGAGTTCCATTGATCTTCCAAATTTTTCTTGTAAAACCTCATTGCTTAATTTGCCTAACAATAAGACCCAAAAAAAGAAAAGAAAATAAAAGAAAAAGAAAAAGAAGAATAACTATGAGGAATTGTAATTTGTAACTGAGAAATTCTAAGGGGAGAGGAAAATAGAAAAAACACTAGGCAAGGAAACACATTAAATTTTTATTTTTGTGTACACTACTGAGGTAAAATCTAAATGAATAAATGTATATACTGATATTGTACCAAACATGCGCTTGCTGAAGATGAAATTACCTCTACAGCAACTTTACAGCCCAGCTGGAGTCTTTGAATTGTGAGCTTCACTCAATTTTAATTTCTTCCTAACGCACAGTAAGCACTCACTCCCTATCAAACAATAACTTTTGTAGCTGACGCCAAGTAACTGGGATTTTAGGCTTTCACAGTTAGAATGATATGACACTGTGTCGATCATATTACGATTCTACAAATCATAAAAATGCTTGTCTTTCCCAAAGATTTAACCATCTGAAAACTCAAAGCAGGGAACCAAATCTCAACAAATCCTTACGCAGACTCAATCATACTATAAGCTGGAACTTTTCGAATTCCAACCTCCGCCATTGCTTTCCTCAAAGCAGTGGCGTGTTCCCACCTCTCAGCCTCAGCATAAATGGTTGATAATAGCACGTATTGCCCACAATGCCGTGGTTGCAACTCAACCAGCTTTCTCGCTACTTCATTAGCCAACTTAGTGGCACCGTGAACCTTACAAGCACCCAAAAGAGCCCCCAAAACAGAGGCATCTGGTTCAAAAGGCATCGTACTTATAAACTCAGTTGCTTCACTCAAAAGCCCAGCTCTGCCCAAGAGATCAACTACACAACCATAGTGCTCCATCCTTGGAATAATGTTGAATTCATGCAACATTGATCGAAGCAATGCCATACCCCACTCCACAAGCTCAGCATGAGCACAAGCGGTGAGAATTGCAACAAATGTAACCTCATTGGGCTTCAATCCTTCTAACTTCATCTTTTCGAACGTGTCTAATGCTTGCTTCTCCTTACCATTTAAAGCTAGTGAAGAAATCATTGCATTCCAAGTGCACACCTCTTTAACCGCCATTCTACTAAAAACTTTGGTAGCATATCCTAAACAACCCGCCTTTCCATATAGATCTATCAAAGCCGTTCCCATAAAAACAGTCAATTCAATCTCATTCTTGATAATAAACCCATGAACTTGCTTTCCTTGATACAGAGCTCCTCCTCCATCACAATTATTAGCACATGAAGACAAGACACTAACAAATGTAGCTTCATTGGGCTTCACAATACCCCCCATTACCTCCTCATCCACCATCATCTTCTCAAAAAACCAAATTGCCTCCGCAAAGTACCCATTCCTCCCAAACCCATTAATCATGCTCGTCCACGAAACAACATCTCTCACATTCATGCGTTCAAAGAGCCAAATAGCCGAACCCAAATCCCCATTCTTGCCAAACGCATCGAGCATCGCATTGCAAGCTACAACACACGGTTCAGGCATTTCATCAAACACGTTGCGGGCATCAGAAAGATTACCAATCTGTGCATACAAACTGAGAAACGATGTCTGTACGAATGGGTCGCTTGATATGCCTCGCTTGATGGCTTGGGTGTGGAGTGGCTTGCAGAGATAGGAAGACAAGGACGGTGAAGAGGAGGCGGCTTTGAGAAGGAAAGAGAAGGTGTGGGCGTTGGGTGGGGCTTGGTGGGCGAGCATGTGGGTGAAGAGGAGGAAGGTGTTGTGGGGTTGAAAAATGTTGAGATAGGCTCTGATCAAGGCGTTAAAGAGGAGGGTGGTCTTCCATTTGAGATGTGAGGAGGAAGTGTTGTGTGGATTGTGGAGGAGGTGAGCGTTGGTGATTAAGCGGGAATGGAGTTGTTTGATTTGGTTGGGGTGTTTGATGAAACGTTGGAGGAGATGCAGAACAAGTTCAGGTGAGTGGGGCATACCAACTCATGAGTCGTGACAGGCCACCGCTTTGCTTTCGGTTGTATCTTCTAACTCGAGTGGCCATGGAAGTTGCTGGGATTCCATGGGGGCATAGGGTGCGTCGAAGACGGCGGAGGGGCAAGAGTTGCGGTGGTCGGAGGATGTCGGATGGATGAGAGAGAGAGAGAGAGAGAGAGAGAGAGAGAGAGCGAGCTTGGTTCTGGTTGGGTGCAATAGCGGTGGCGGAATATGGGGGTTTTGGGGGGTTACGGTGATAGTGAGGGAGGTGGGCTGACGGCGATCGGCGAGGCTGGGAATGGAGTCTCGCTGGAGAAGGGTGCCGGAGATGATTACTGTGTGGGTGAAAATCTGACCACACTGCCCGTTTAGTGATCAGCTGGAGAGCACAAGCAGAATAGATGGCTTAAGCAACCTGAAACAGAAAGAAAAAGCTCCGGCGGTGGTTCTTCCACCCGGGGCACTCCGACGATCAAGTCAGTATATCTCTCAAAGATAATCAAGTACTAAACTGAACACTCAAAGTATAAATTACATACCTTAGACCCACGGGGTGCCTCTCTTTTATAATATACTCAATCCAAGTCCCACTAGAAGTATGACTTCTATGAACTCCAATTTACTGTTTACTCTAGACTCTTCAAGAGATAAAGATAAACTCCCTAAGAGCTTTATCCTTATCTTGGTTAAGTCCCCTCTTTGCCTTAGGACCCTTGCCTCTTATCTCGGATTCCGATATCTTCGGATATGACCTCGGCTTCTCCGAGATTACCTCGGCTTAACTACCAGGGCACGTGGCACCTCGGCTGACACGTCGGCGTTACCATGCCACGTGTTGGTATTCAGAAAATACATCCCCACAACTGCCCCCTAGGTTCTATTACCTCTGCATTCTGAGGTGATGGAATCTATTCCGAAATTTTGTTACTTCTTTTCTGAGTAATGGCTCAAAAAAAACTGTTTAGCCAGGATTATCTACTTTCAGCCGACGTGTTCTCTTCGGAGAACGAGGCTTCGGTCGTACTCTCCCATGCGCATGAGCTGTCATGCATATCTAACCGTTCCTTTCTACGTGCTTTGTTTTCATTGGAGCGTGTCTGAGATGCGCCTGGAAGCTGTCTGTTCGTTCGTCTTGCGCCGTCTGACGCGTGCGTTACCCTAGGCGTAATGATTGCCCTAATTTTGCCGCCATTTCAAATTTTTGACAAAACTCTTTTTTGCCTCTATCTTTTCTTCACTTTTTCATTCCGTCTTCTTGCTCTTTCTCTCTCTGAAAGCTCATTTTTCTTCGAATCTGCCATCGCCTCAATCTCTCTTCTGGAATTGCTTTTAATCCCTCATTCTTGCAAAGCCTTCTTTGCTGTTGCAACCGGTTTCTGGGTTCGGCGAGCATTGCCTCGGCTTCATTTGTCCTGGTAAGACCCTTTTCTTGAATTCTTTCATTCTCTTTATGTGCTTCTGTCTGTCTGTTGCCATTACTGATCTTTGTTCGAGGTCTTGGATTTATTTGTATCTTGAATTTGTGGCTTTACCTTGAACTTCTATGCTTTTTCAACATTCTTTTTGCCGCTGTCCTTGATTTTTTCCTGCATCTCTATTGTTTCTGAGAACTATACCTCTGTTCTTGAATCTGAAACTTCGTCTTTGTTTTCTCTTTTTTTTTGAATCTGTCCCAGATCTGTGCCCTCGATCTTTATCTTCATACTTCATAGATTTGGGATTTGTCTGTAGAACCCTTAATCTTTAGGGAAACCTGAAAAACGCCCATCTTCTGAAACATATTCCTCTTAGTTTAAGCCGACATAATTGGTATGTGGAGGCATAGGGTAAATACCCCAACAAAACTTGAATACTTTAGGCAAGAATTCTCTATCCCAGCCGACGTTTATCTTAAGCTGGCTGGAGATAATGATACCATCATGCCCACAGACCACACAATGCCTTTTCCAATAGTTGCTTTCACCGAATGTGGACTTCGGCTTCCACTTGATCCCCTCTTTCGTCAAGTTCTCCATTTCTATAAGGTGAACCCTATGCAACTTACTATCAATTCCTATAGGGTAATTAATGGTATTATTGCCTTGGCTAGGTAAGAAAACCTTAGAATCACCCTGGCCGACCTTCAATATTGTTATACCATGTGCCCTCTTGATCTGAAGGATAGGGGTTTTGTCTATTACCTTAAGCCGAGATCCACTCAGTACAAAATTATAGCCGACCTCCCAGACTCCAACAAGGGGGCTGGAGATGACTTTCTTATTGCCTCTGGAAATTGGGAATTTGGCCCAGATGAAGATGTCCACCTATACCCTCTTCCTCGAACAATCACAGAGGGCAAGAGTAAGAGCCCTGAGTCAACACTTAGTTGTTTTTATTTAAGACTTTAATACTCTTTGTTTTTGACGTCTGTTTCTTTGCAGATCTTCATCAACCACCGAAAAATTTTCGCCAATCCTTCTTCCCAGGAACAGATCTAAAAACACTTCTTGGCCTTCAGCAGCAAAGCACCAGCAGAATAGATGGCTTTAGCAACCTGTAACAGAAAGAA